GAGTGCAGTGGCACGATCTCGGCTCACTGTAGCCTCTGCCTTGGTTCAGGGAGTTTTCCTGCCTCAGCCTCCCAAGTAGCTGGGACTACATGCATGCACCATCATGCCTGGCTAATGTTGGTATTTTTAGTAGAGATGGGGTCTCACCATGTTGGCCAAGCTGGCCTTGAACTCCTGACCTCAAGTGATTAACCTGCCTGGGCCTCTCAAAGTTCTGGGATTACAGCCATGAGCCACCACACCCAACCCAACTTTTAAATTTTTTTAAAGAGATGGGGTCACATTATGTTGCCCAGGCTAGTCTTAAACTCCTGGACTCAAACAGTCTTCCCATCTCGGCTTGCCAAGGTGTTGGGATTACAAGCATGAGCCACCATGCCCTGATTACATCATTCTGTGGGCTTTTAAAAATTTATTTTTTATAGAGACAGGGTTTTTTCATGTTGGTCAGGCTGGTCTTGAACTCCGGACCTCAGATGATCCGCCTGCCTCGGCCTCCCAAAGTGCTGGGATTACAGGCGTGAGCCACCATGCCCAGCCTCCATGGACTTTTAAAGCATTTTTTGTCTCAAAAAGTGTATGTTCTTAGTTATCTAACCAGTATATCTCTTAATACTTGTATTTACTGAAAATCTGTTTCCCTATTTAAGTATTTTCAAGTTCTCAATAACTGTACATGAAATTAATAGCTTTCATAGTCACAAATTATTGCAGCATTTTATTGTTATATTAAATATGCTTTTACACATTAGTTGACAGAATTTAAGCATAGAAAGTACATAAAGCAGTTTTTGCTCCAGTTACTACTAGAATGCTGACCTTTATTTGAAAGTAAATATTCAGGCCAGGCGAGGTAGCTCATCCCTGTTATCTGTCATTTTGGGACTTTGGGAGGCTGAGGCAGGAGGATTTCTTGAACCCAGGAGTTTGAGGCCATCCTGGGCAACATAGTGAGATTCCTGTCTCTAGAAAATTGAAAACTAGCGAGGTATGGTAGCTTGTTTCTGTGGTCCCAGCTACTCTGGAGGCTGAAGTAAGAAGGTAAAAGGATCGCTTAAGCCCAGGGCATCAAGGCTGCAGGGAAATTCAGAAATGCTACTGAAGGGTCGGGTGTGGTGGCTCATGCCTGTAATCCCAGTACTTTGGGAAGCTGAGGTGGGTGGATCACCTGAGGTCAGGAGTTCCAGACCAGCCTGGCCAACATGGTAAATGCTGTTTCTACTAAAAATACCAAAAATATTAGCTGGGTGTGATGGTGCATGCCTGTAATCCGAGCTACTTGGGAGGTTGAGGCAGAAGAATCGCTTGAATCCTGGAGGTAGAGGTTGCAGTGAGCCAAGATCGTGCCATTGCACTCCAGCCTGGGCAACAAGAGTGAAACAACATCTCAAAAAAAATATATATATATATAGTACCACTGAAGTTGGTCTCCGATTCCCTAGCATTCCAGAAGCAAAATAGATTTTGAGCAAATACTGAGTTTGTTTAAACTTCTAATTCAGTCGGAATTTGTATTAGGGTACACTATAAGGTACAAATCTAACATTTTTTCCAGGTAGGTGCCCAGTGGCCTGTAAACTAGAACTGCACCTGCCATCTTTTTACCAATGATCTGTGATGCCACCTTTATTGTAAATTAAATTCTTGTCTGTTTCTGGACCTTTGGTTCCTCTGTTTATAACCAGTAGCATATAATTGCTCATTGTTGAGGCTTTATAGTAGTATGGGCTGAGTCTGGTAGAGCTGGTTCCGTGATCTCTTTTTGAGAGTTCTCCTGGTCATGCTTGTTTCCTTGTCACAGGATCTTTCAAATCAGTACAATTTATTCCTCCAATAAAAACGATTAAGGTGGTATGAAATTTATCAGTTCAGCTTCTGGAGAATTCATTTCTACGTGATTTTGAGTCTTCCTCTTTATATACACAGGATGTCTGCATTTCTGCAAGCATTCTGTACCCTACATATTTTATTACGTGCATTCCTGAATATTTTATCTTTTTTGTTGTTTGACATGTCAACCTTAGGGTCACTTTAACTGTTACTGGTATTGTACTCCAAAGTATTATCCGTTTGTTGTTGGTGGTAGTGTGGATTTTTTTTGTTTGTTTGTTTTCATTTGTTTTTCGAGAGAGGGTCTGGCACTACTATCAACATGTAAAGTACACAAAGCAGTTTTTGCTCCAGTTAGAAGTAGAATGCTGACCTTTATTTGAAAGTAAATATTCAGGCCAGGTGGGGAGTGCAGTGGCATAAGCATGGCTTACCTTGAATTCCTGGGCTGAAGCAGTCCTCCTACCTCAGCCTCTGAGTAGCCGGAACTATAAGCACAAGTCATCATGCCCAGCTAGTTTTTTTACTTTTTGTAGAGACAGGGTCTAAACTATGTTAGCCAGACTGGTCTTCAACCCTCCAGCCTCAAATGATCCTCCTACCTTTGCCTCCCAAAGTGCTGGGATTATAGGCATGAACCACCATGCCTGGCCCCTTTGTTTTTAATCAGGTACTGTAGTGACTTTATCCTGTCCACTACTTCCAAAAACCCTGTGAGAATGGGTAGTAATATAACTCCATCTAAACATTAAAATATTGAAAAATGAATTGATACATCCATTAATTAATTAGTGCAGTTATTCATTTTGCCATTGAAAGAACTGAGGATGAAGGAGGTCAAGTTGCCTAGAGACACCCAGTGAATTGTAGGTGGAGGAGGAGCTGGGTGTGAACTCCTGGGTTCCTCTCCAAACACGTGCTTTTAACCACTATGGGCTATAGTTAGCAGGATGTGAAAGGTCTGGGGACAGACACAGGGTCAGTAATAAAAATGCTGGCACTTACAGATGTGTGCTTATGTGTAAAAACATCTGTTGTGTGCCTTCTGTATGAGTTCCTTTTGTTTTTTTTGAGACAGTCTCCCTCTGTTGCCCAAGCTGGAATATAGGCATGATCTCAGCTCACTGCAACCTCTGCTTCCGGGTTCAAGTGATTCTCCTGCCTCACCTTCCCAACTAGATGGGACTATACGCATGCACCATCATGCCTGGCTCATATTTGGTATTTTTAGTAGAGATGAGAGTTTAGTATGTTGGCCAGGCTGATCTTGAACTCCTGACCACAAGTGATCTGCCCGCCTTGGCGTCCCATAGTGCTGGAATTATAGGTGTGAGCCACTGTGCCTGGCCTGTGTGACTTCTTTTTGCCACTCCTGCCCCACCACAACCCGGCATGAAGGTACTATTACTACCCTTGCTTTGCGTGAGAGAAAACTGAGGTGCAGAGAAGATGGTTTCTTGAGAGTTAAAATGGATTGCTTTGTTACAGCACTTCACAGTGCCTTTACCACAGTGAACAGTCTACACTGTTCACAAGAAGGGGTCATGAGCAGGGCAGCTGGGCTGGTACTGAACATTTTGAACTTCCACTGAAAGGTTAAAAATGATCTCTTCGGCCATGTGCGGTGGCTCATGCCTATTCCTAGCACTTTGGGATGCTGAGGTGGGTGGGTCATCTGAGATCAGGGGTTGAAGACCAGCCTGACCAACATGGAGAAAACCCACCTCTACTAAAAATACAAAATTAAGCCAGGTGTGGTGGCGCGTGCCTGTAATCCCAGCTGCTCGAGAGGCCAAGGCAGGAGAATCACTTGAACCCAGGAGGCAGAGGTTGCAGTGAGCCGAGATGATGCCGTTGTACTCTAGCCTGGGCAACAAGAGGGAAACTCTGTCTCAAAAAGTGTGTGTGTGTGTGTGTGTGTGTCTCTCGCTGTCTCTCGCTCTCACTCTCTCTTCTTAAATGCATGTTATGCCGGGCACATTGGCCCATGCCCGGGATCCCAGTAACTCAGGAGGCCAAGGAGGGAGGATCGCTTGAGCCTGAGTTTGAGGTTGCAGTGAGCTGTGATTGTGCCACTGTGCTTCAGCCTGAGAGGCAGAGCAAAACCCTGTTTCTTAAAGAAAAAAACCACCACAATCATGTTACTGTGTTTTTTATTAGGTTTTTTTTTTTTTTTGAGACAGAGTCTCATTTTGTCACCCAGGCTATAGTGCAGTGGCAGGATTTTTTCCAGCTCACTACAACCTCCACCCCCGAGTTCAAGCAGTTCTTCCACCTCAGCCTTCCAAGTAGCTGGGATTACTCTACAACTGGCTAATTTTTATATTTTTAGTAGAGACAGGGTTTTGCCACGTTGGTCACGCTGGCCAGGCGGGTCTCAAACTCCTGACCTCTGGTGATCCACCTGCCATGGCCTCTCAAAGTGCTGGGATTACAGTCATGAACCACCACACCCGGTCATTATTAGTTTTGCTTTTTTTTTGGTTTCTTTCTTTCTTTTTTTTTTTTTTTTTGAGATGGAGTCTTACTCTGTTGCCAGACTGGAGTTCAATGGCACAATCTTGGCTCACTGCAACCTCCGCCTCCCAGGTTCAAGTGATTCTCCTGTCTCAGCTTTGAGAGTAGCTGGGATTACAGGTGCGCACCATCACCGCCAGCTAATTTTTGTATTTTTAGTAGACACAGGGTTTCACCATGTTGGCCAGGCTGTTCTCAAACTCTTGCCCTCAGGTGATCCACCCACCTCGGCCTCCCAAAGTGCTGGGATTACAGGCATGAGCCACTGCACCCCGCCTATTAGGTTATTTTTAATACCAGTTGGCATTGTGAGCCTACAAGAGAAGATAGAGCATACTGCTCTTCTCAAACCACCAGATGGCACATGCAGTCCTGATAGGGCTTTGGCATATTGTTGAGTGCTGTGTGGAGCAGCGTCTTATTTAATCCTCACAATAGCCTGTGCACCTCATGTACTACGATGAGTCCCATTCTGCAGGTGAAGAGCCTGTGCCCCAGGAGATTAAGGGACTCGCCTGCTCCATGGCATCTAGGAAGTTTGGTGCTGGGACTTGTGCCCAGGTATATCTGACCTTTCACAGCTCCTGGATCCGTGGCACTGGGTGGATGCCACAGTTTGTCCTCTTGGATAATTCTGCTTTTCTCTTCTGTAGAGCCACAATCATGTCTCTGGAAGACTTTGAGCAGCGCTTAAATCAGGCCATCGAAAGAAATGCCTTCCTGGAAAGTGAACTTGATGAGAAAGAGAATCTCCTGGAGTCCGTTCAGAGACTGAAGGATGAAGCCAGAGGTCAGGAGGCCTTGGTGTCTTTCCCAGCGTGGTCCTCTCTCCCTACCTGAGCAACATCCTGTGCCATGGCCTCTCCCAGCATTACCTTTACAGGGACCCTGCACCCCTGCTCTGCACCCAGGCTGTCTAGTCAGAGGGTGGGGGACTGCACCAGGCAGACTCTGAAAACAGTCACACATCCAACCCTGTAAGGACCTCTTACGGGTATTTAGAGAAATAGCTTTGGGGTTCACAGATTAAGCTCTTGTATTGGGGTTCTGCCTCTGGGCAGCAGAATTCATTTCCGGAAAGATGTTTCCTGGTCTGTAATTCACACACACAGCAAACCAGCCTGATGCTCAGTAGGAACATAGGTTTTGTGGGGAGAACCTGGCACAGTGACTCACACCTATAATCCTAGCACTTTGGGAGGCCGAGGATCTCTCGGGCCCAGGAGTTCGAGACCAGCCTGGACAACATAGTGGAACTCCATCTCTAGAAAAAAAATAAAATTGAGCTGGGTGTAGGGGCATGTGTCTATAGTCCCAGCTGCTCAGGAGGCCAAGGTGGGGTGATCCCTTTAGCCCAGGAGGTGGAGTCTGCGACGAGCTATGATCGCACTACTGCACTCCAGCCTGGGTGACAGAATGACACTCTTGTCTCTTAAAAAAAGGAAAAAAAGCTTTTGTGGGGAGAGATTTTTGGTGGAATTGCAAGCTAGTCTATTGGTTTTTTTTTTGAGTAGATGGCAACTGATAAATTTGGCTTAGAACTTTGAGCATTTGCTCTTTAGTGGTTGGCACTTACAGAGGTAGAACGTTCAAACTGTAATGAGATGACTGGCCAGGCACAATGGTTCACACCTGTAATCCTAGTGGCAGGCCAAGGCAGGCGGATCACCTGAGCTCAGGAGTTCGAGACCAGCCTGGACAATGTAGAGAAACCCCATCTCTACTGAAAATAGAAAACATTAGCTGGGCATGGTGGTTCATGCCTGTAATCCCAGCTGCTCAGGAGGCTGAGGCATGAGAATCACTTGAACCCGGCGGGTGGAGATTGCAGTGAGCCAAAATTACACCATTGTGCTTCAGCTTAGGTGACAGAGTAACTCTGTCTCCAAAAAAGGAGACATTATTAGTGGACTGTCCAAGTTTGTTTTTAAAGTTCCAATTAATTTTTTTTTTTTTTTTTTTGAGATGGAATCTTGCTCTTTTGCCCAGACTGGAGTGCAGTGGTGCTATCTCAGCTCATTGCAACCTCTGCCTCCCAGGTTCAAGTGATTCTCCTGCCTGAGCCTCCCAAGTAGCTGGGACTGTAGGTGTGCACCACCATGCCTGGCTAAGTTTTGTATTTTTAGTATAGAGACGGGGTTTCACGATGTTGGCCAGGTTGATCTTGAACTCCTGACCTCAGGTGATCTGCCCACCTCGGCCTCCCAAAGTGCTAGGATTATAGGTATGAGTCACCATTCCTGGCCCAACTGTTTATAACATTAATTTGCTTTCTCATGTGGAACCAGTAGGTGGGGGATTAAAAATAAAAATTCCTAAGTTAAAAAAAAGCAGTTGTTCCTAGATGCCTATCAATAATGAACTGGTTAAGTGAGTGCATAGATATACTTTGTGAAATGTTCGTTAAAATGAACAAGGTATAGATAGAAATGTTGTCATAGAAAGATTGCCAAGGCTAGGCACAGTGGCTTATGTCTGTAATCTGAGCGCTTTGAGAGAGAGAGAGGCAAGAGGATTGCTTGAGCCTAGGAGTTCAATATTAGCCTGGACAGCATAGCAAGACCCCCATCTCTTCAAAAATAAAATGTAGAAAAATTAGTAGGCCTGGTGGCGTACGCTTGTAGTCCCAGCTACTTAGTAGGCTGAAGTGGGAGGATGACTTGAGCCCAGGAGTTGGTGATTACATTCAGCTATGATTGTACCAAAGCACCCTAGCCTGGGTGATTAAGCCAGACTCTGTCTCTAAAACAAACAAAAAAGATTGCCAAGACATACCACTGACGTGGGGAGAGCAAGTCATGCACGGGACGTATGGTATGTTTCCATTAATGCTTAATAAAAATCCTTCCTATTTTATGCTCAGTAGATACACACATATCTATAAAGTTTATGTTTGAAAATGCAGAGAACAGCCGGGCACAGTGGGTCACACCTGTAATCCCAGCACTTTGAGAGGCCGAGGTGGGTGGATCACCTGATGTCAGGAGTTCGACACCAGCCTAGCCAACATAGTGAAATATGGTCTCTATTTAAAAAAAAAAAATTAGCCGGGCATGGTGGTGTGTGCTGTAATTTCAGCTACTTGGGAGACTGAGGCAGAAGGATTGCTTGAATCCAGGAGTTGGAGGCAGTTAGCTGAGACTGTGCCGTTGCATTCCAGCTTGGGCAACAGAGTGAAACTCCGTCTCAAAAGGAGGAGCGTTTGGCAGTAGTATGGAAAGCATACTTATTTTCGAAATAGAGTGTCACTCTCACTCAGGCTGCAGTGCGGCGGCGTGATTTCAGCTCACTGCAGCCTTGGTCTCCCAGGTTCAAGCGTTTCTCCTGCCTCAGCCTCCCAAGCAGCTGGGACTAGAGGCGCGCACCACCATGCACAGCTTATTTTTTGTATCATTAATAGAGACAGGGCTTTGCCATGTTGGCCTTGAACTCCTGACCTCAAGTGATCCTTCCATCTGGGTCTCCCAGAGTACTGGGATTATAGGTGTGAGCCACTGTGCCCCGCCTTTTTTTTTTTTTTTTTTTTTCCTTTTTGCCATGGTCTCACTCTGTCACCCAGGCTGGAGTGGCATGATCACGGCTCACTGCAGCCTCGACCTCCTGGATTGATACGATCCTCCCACCTCGGCCTCCCAAGGTGCTGGGATTACAGGTGTGAGCCACTGCATCTGAGCATACTTTCATTTAGTATTCTAGATATACTGCTGTGTTGGAATTGTTTTTTGAATAATAAAAGCATTAGTATGTCACTGCCGTAGCTTTTTAGAAATCTAAAACCATTTTGTTTTTTACTTAAAAGAAAAGTCCTGTAGAGCTGCAAGTCTTTGGGTTTCCCTTTATTTGGGGTTTCCAACTGGAGTTTTTCATCCCAGTAGATCTATATCCTGACCAGTATCTACTGTTGAACCTCTCCTCCTGCACCCTGCCAACCCAAAGCCAAGGACTTCAATTCCCTTTTTGTTTCTGAGACAAAGTCTCACTCTCTTGCCCAGGCTGGAGTGCAGTGGCACAATCTCGGCTCAATGCAACCCCCATCTCCTGGGTTCAGGTGACTCTCATGCCTCATTCTCTTGAATAGCTGGAATTACAGGCGCATGCCACCACACCTGGCTAATTTTAGTATTTTCGGTAAAGATGGGGTTTCATCATGTTGGCCAGGTTGGTGTTAAGCTCTTAACCTAAAGTGATCCCCCTGACTTGGCCTCCCAAAGTGCTGGCATTGCAGGCATGAGCCACAGCGCCTGCTGAGGACTTGAATTCCCTAATCCTTTTCCTGGCACAGATTTGAGGCAGGAACTGGCCGTGCAGCAGAAGCAGGAGAAACCCAGGACACCCATGCCCAGCTCAGTGGAAGCTGAGAGGACAGACACAGCTGTGCAGGCCACGGGCTCCTTGCCATCCACGCCTGTCACCCATCGAGGACCCAGCTCAAGTTTAAACACACTGGGGAGCTTCAGACGTGGTAAGGGGAGTGGGAATTGGAGGATTTTCTTGGTTTCACAGTGTGTTCCTGGGTAAGAATCTGGGGTGGGTCCTGGGGGTGTGATGATTTGCACCAGGCTCAGAGCCTGATTTGCTGTCAGGCTTTGAGCAGACAGTAGACTGGGATGTTCCTTGGGATGGGCATTGGGATCAATGAGGAGTGTCTGGGTGGGAGGCAGTAGGGAGTGGTGGAGTCTGTGGTGAGGTGGGAGATGGAAACCCCAGCCGGAGGGAGTAGCTGCCCCTCTGCAGCTGTAAGGAATGGCCCTTCATCTGCAGCTTTTTCCATTCTTCATCAAAGCCAGAGATCCTCTTTTTTGTTGTTAGATTTTTGTTTTGTTTTTTGGAAATGGGATCTTGCTCTATTGCCTAGGCTGGAGTGCAGTGACAGGATCTTGGCTCACTGCAACCTCATTCTCATGGGCTCAAGTGATTCTCCCACCTCATCCTCTGGAGTAGCTGAGACTAAAGGTGCTCCCAACACACCTGATTTTTGTATTTTTGGTAGAGATGAGGTCTTGCTATGTCACCCAGGCTGGTACCATATTCCTGGACTCAACTGATCCTCTCGCCTCGGCTGATCTCAAAGCGCTGGGATTACAGGCATGAGCCACTGCATCTGGCCCCAAATCCTCTTTTTGAATATGAAACCTCCCAAATTTGAAATGTCAGTAACCAAATATGAAAAATGAAAAGCATTCTGTGGGTGTGGTAATACATCCACCGAGAGCTAGACTTGGTGTAACCTGTGCTTGTGGAGAAAAAACAAGAAATCTGAGTTCTCACCCCAGTGCCTCTGATAGCTTCCGATCAGGCCTTTTATAGCAGATATTAATAGCAGACACTTATGAGGTGCTCAGTATGCGCCAGCCACCCTGCAACCGTCACTGCAGGCCCAGGATACAAGTGCTGTCCCCATTTGATGGACACGAGGCCCTGAGTTCAGCAGAGTCATGAAGCAAGTGAATGGCAGATGGATGGGGATTCAGACCCAGGCAGGCAGGCTCCAGGGCCTACCCTGCCATCTACTGCCTTATCCCTTAGCTCATCCCTTGGTGGTGAAGAGACCAGTGAGACTTCTAGAATCCCAGTGCAGAGCCCTTTTGTTTTGTTGAGATGGAGTTTGGCTCTGTGGCCCAGGCTGGAGTACAATGGCGCGATCTTGGCTCATTGAAACCACCTCCTCCCAGGTTCAAGTTGATGCTCCTGCCTCAGCATCCCAAGTAAGCTTGGATTATAGGCGTTTACCACCATGGCTGGCTAATTTTGTATTTTTAGTAAAGACATGGTGTCACCATGTTGGCCATGCTGGTCTCAAACTCCTGATTTCAGGTAATCCACCTGCCTCAGCCTCTGAAAGTGCTGTGATTACAGGCATGAGCTGCTCCGCCTGACCCCGGTCTAGAGCCAGTTTGCGTACTTTATTTCAGTTTTTTTAGAGAGACAGTTTTGTTCTGTGGCCCAGGCTGGAGCTCGCTCTAGCCTCCAACTCCTGGGTTCCAGTGATCCTCCTGTCTCAGCCTTCTGAGTAGCTGGGACTAGAGGCATGCAACTCCATGCCTGACTATTTTTCCACACTTTAATATGCATGCAGCTCATCTGTGGACCTTGGTAGAATGTACCTCAGATCCAGGGGGTCTTGGGTGGGGCCTGAAATTCTGCTTTTTTTTTTTTTTTTTTTTTTTTTTTTGAGACAGTTTTGCTGTGTTGCCCAGGCTGGAGTGTGGTGGCATGACCTCAACTCATTGCAGCCTCTGCCTCCTGGATTCAGGATATTCACATGCCTCAGCCTTCTGCATAGGTGGGATTACAGGCACCTGTTACCATGCCCAGCTAATTTTGTATTTTTAGTAGAGATGAGGTTTTTGCCACATTGGCCAGGCTGGTCTTGAACTCCTGACCTCAGGTGATCCACCCACCTCGGTCTCCCAAAGTGCTGGGATTATGGGTGTGAGCCATTACACTCAGCCAAGAGATTTTGCAGTTTTGACAGTTCTCAGGTGCTGTTGGTGCATGGACCCCACTTGGAGAAGACAGGCTCTGCAGGACCCTTGTAAAACTGGATTGCCCTGTCTGTAGTTCCTGTATCTATCACAGATGCCATGACGTTAATTAACTGTATGGATTGCCTACAATTTTTTTTTTTTTTTGAGACAGAGTTTCGCTCTTGTTACCCAGGCCGGAGTGCAATGGCGCGATCTCGGCTCATTGCAACCTCCGCCTCCTGGGTTCAGGCAATTCTCCTGCCTCAGCCTCCTGAGTAGCTGGGATTACAGGCACGTGCCACCATGCCCAGCTAATTTTTTGTATTTTTAGTAGAGACGGGGTTTCACCATGTTGACCAGGATGGTCTCGATCTCTTGACCTCGTGATCCTCCCGCTTCGGCCTCCGAAAGTGCTGGGATTACAGGTGTGAGCCACTGCCCCGGATTGCCTACAATTTTAAAAGGATTTAGGATTTGTTTAAAAAGACTGACATGGCTGGGCATGGTGGCTCCTGCCTGTGATCCTAGCTCTCTGGGCGCCTGAGTCGGGAGGATCGCTTGAGACCAGAGTTCACAATGATCAGCTTGGCAGCATAGTGAGATCCTGTCTCTATTAAAAATTCTTTTAAAAGGCCAGGCATGGTGGCTCGTGCTGGCAATCCCAGCACTTTGGGAGGCTGAGACCGGCGGATCACTTGAGGTCAGCAGTTCGAGACCAGCCTGGATGACATGGTGAAACCCCGTCTCTACTAAAAATACAAAAATTAACCGGGTGTGGTGGCCCCTGGTTGTAATCCCAGCTACTCCACAGGCGGAGTCAGGAGAATTGCTTGAACCTGGAAGGTGGAGGTTGCAGTGAGCTGAGATTGTGTTATTGCACTCCAGCCTGGGTGACAGAGCAAGACTGTGTCTCAAAAAAAAAAAAGACTAACGTAAAAACAAACATTTGATGTAGTCATCATCACAAGGACTTGAAAAACTGGTTGTCATGTAGGCCTTAGGTGTGTGATGCAGTTAGCTATTGAAAGAAATAGGGTAGCTTCTAGGATCCGAGGGAAGTTACCCGAGTCCCTCCCTTCCACGTGGTTTTGGGTCTCTAGCTGTTAGTGCATAGACATGACTGTAGCTTGATGTGTTATATGCACATTCTTTTGCACACCCAGGCCTGGACGACTCCACAGGGGGGACGCCCCTCACGCCTGCAGCCCGGATCTCAGCCCTCAACATTGTGGGAGATCTACTGCGGAAAGTTGGGGTAAGTCCACACTTCCCTGGCCTTTGGTGCCTTCCTGCCTGTCCTTCGGGATATATGAAGGGGTGGATCTTACTCTAGTTCCTTCCCTCTTCTCTCTTTCTTTTTCTAAGAAACAGGAGTTTTGTCCTGTTGCCCAGGCTGAAGTATAGTGGTATGATCACAACTTACTGTAGCCTCGAACTCCTGGGCTAAAGCTGTCCTTCCACCTTAGCCTCCCAGGGAACTTGGACCACAGGTATGCACACCATGGCTGGCTAATACTTTCATTTTTTGTAGTAATGGGGTATGGCACTGTTGCCCAGGCTGGTCTTAAACTCCTGGTGTCATGTGATCCTCCCATGCTGGCCTCCCACAGTTCTGGGGTTATAGGTGTGAGCCAGTACAGCTGGCCCCTTTCATAGCAGTATGGTAAGTTTTAGGTGTGACCGCTCCTCTGGTGTCCCTGGGAGTCATTAGAGCTTCCTGTGGGAGTTACTGCTGGACACTCAGAGCTCTGACTCTAAGCTTTGCCTCGGAATATGTATATCTCTTTCCTTGTACCATTTTTCCTCGAGGCAATTTGGAAAATAGGGTGATGTCCTGTTTTTCCTAAATTTGAAAAAACTGAGGAGCATTTAGAAACTGTCTTTTGGCTGAGTACAGTGGCTCATGCCTATAATCCCAGTACTTTGGGAGGCCAAGGTGGGAGGATCACTTGAGCCCAGGAGTTTGGCACTAGCCTGGGCAACATGGTGAAACCGCCTGCCCTGACTTGCCTCTACAAAAATGCAGAAATTAGCCAGGCATGGTAGTGCACACTGGTAGTCCCAGCTACTCAGGAGGCTGAGAGGTGGGAAGATTGCTTGAGCCTGGGAGGTCGAGACTGCAGTGAGCCGAGATGGCACGACTGCACTCTAACCTGGGATGACAGAACACAACATTGTCTGAGAAAAGAAAAAACTGCCTTCTGTTTTGTTTGTTTGTTTGTTTCTCAGGGGGTTTAAGAGAATCTTGACACTTTGCAATGCCAAGGCGGGTGGATCACTTGAGGTCAGGAGTTCGAGGCAGGAGATTGGCTTGAACCCGGGAGGTGGAGGTTGCAGTGAGCCGAGATTGTGCTACTGCCCTTCAGCCTGGGCAATAAAGTGAGACTTGGTCTCAAAAAAAAAAAAAAAAAAAAAAAAAAAATCTTGAAAGCCTAGGGCAAAGAACTTGGCCTTTCAGCTTTTATGTTAATTGCAGGGAGAGATCCTTTTGTGCTTAAGCAATAACATAGGTATTCTTTGTAGCTGTTTGTTTTATTTTTAAAAACGATGCCCGGAAGGCCACATAATTTAACTTCTACCAGGTTGTCACTGTGCAGCAGTGTATTCATACAACTTAATAGAAGCTTGCATCTCATTTCTTTCATGTTACTGCTTTGGCTATTGGTTGTCTGGCTTGCTTTTCTGTAAACAGGTCCGTGTTTTAATAGCCTGGTTGAGGTACAGAGAAGCCTGGGGGTACTGTCAGCATCCTTTTGGTTTCCTTGGGATCTCTTGCAGCCAGACTAAGTCCTTGTCAAACCTCCTGCCATTCTGCAGAGGTTTAATAAGGTAAGCCAAAGAGGGAAGGATTCCAGAAGTGGATTTCATATTTCCTACGGGCAGAGTTGGATAATTGGTAGCTTATTGATTTTTCCAGAAAGCTTTCATTTGTTTAAAAATTTTTGTAATTAAAAACTTTTTTTTTTTCTTTGAGAGACAGTCTCACTCTGTTGCCAGGCGCCAAGCTGGAGTGCAGTGACACAATCTCGGCTCACTGCAACCTCCGCCTCCCGGGTTCAAGCAGTTCTCCTGCCCCAGCCTCCCAAGTAGCTGGGACTACAGGCACACGCCACCACGCCCGGCTAATTTTTGTATTTTTAGTAGAGACGGGGTTTCACCATGTTGGCCAGGATGATCTCGAACTCCTGACCTCAGGTGACCCATCTACCTTGGCCTCCCAAAGTGCTGGGATTACAGGCTTGAGCCACCGTGCCCAGCCAAATCTTTTTATTCATTATTATTTATTTATTTATTTATTTTTGGCCAGGCGTGATTGTGCATGCCTATAGTCCCAGCTACCCAGGAGGCTGAGGTGGGAGGATTGCTTGAGCACGGGAGGTCGACGCTGCAGTGAGCTGTCATCTCTTTCCAGGAAGCTCCCAAACATTTGTAAAAATGCTTTGTAATTTAAACATTTTTTTTTCATTAAAAAAATTTTTTTTATTAGGTGGGCATGACTGCAGATGTATATAATCCCAGCTACTCAGAAGGCTGAGGTGGGAGCATTGCTTTAGCCTGGGAGGTTGAGGCTGCAGTGAGCTGTGATCTCACCAGTGCACTCAGCCTGGGTGACACAGCAAGACCTTATCTAAAAAAGTAAAAAAAATAAATAAGATGGGATCTTACTTTGTTGCCCAGGCTGGTCTCAAACTCCTGATATTAAGCCTCCTGCCTTGGCCTCCCAAAGTGCTGGGATTGCAGATGTGAGCCATTGTGCCTAGCCAGCTCCCAAATACCTGAGGTGCTTGGTTCTGAAACTGGCATATACATTTGTTCCTCCTGGGGTCCCACCTTGGAATTCCAGTTCACAACAGTTTGAGAACCACAGTCTGGGGTTCTTTCCTCTGTATGGGCTCTGGTGAGACAGAATAGTCCTTGCCTATAACTTGAGAGATAAAAAGTGTATTTTTCTCCAGGCACTGGAGTCCAAACTTGCTTCCTGCCGGAACCTAGTGTATGATCAATCCCCAAACCGAACAGGTGGCCCAGCCTCTGGGCGGAGCAGCAAGAACAGAGATGGCAGCGACAGACGGCCAGGCAGCACCAGCGTGCCTTTGGGTGATAAAGGGTCAGTACCTTTTAATAAGCCTCTCGCTGCTGGGGAGAACCGACCTGCCCCAGGCCAGAGACAGTAGCCCCCAACCCACAGCCATGAGCTTTTTTTTAAATTACGGGATGATTTCAGCAAACCTTATTATCTCCTGTGCTCCCTGTAGGCAGCATTAGGTGGTGTCTTCTGGCTTGGTCAAAGGGCTAAGGAGAGGGTCTTGTTTTGTGAGACAGGGTCTCACTCTATCTCCTAGGCTGAAATACAGTGGCACTACCATAGCTCACCCTCTGCCTCCTGGCTCACATGATCCTCCCACCTTAGTCCCCTGAGTAGCTGGAACTACAGGTGCATGCCACCATGCCTGGCTCATTTTTTGTAGTTTTTTTTTTTTTTTTTTTTTTGAGACCAGGTCTCACTTTGTCACCAGGCTGGAGTGCAGTGGCATGGTCTTGGCTCACTGCAACCTCTGACTCTCTGGTTCAAGAGATTCTCCTGCCTCAGACTCCCAATTACAGGCACAAGCCACTGTGCCCAGCTAATTTGTGTTTTAGTTTTTTTTTTTTTTTTTTTGAGACTGAGCTTGCTCTGTCGCCAGGCTCAGCTGTGATCTTGGCTCACTGCAACCTCCACCTCCTGGGTTCAAGCAGTTGTGCCTTAGCCTCCCGAGTAGCTGGGACTACAGGCGCATGCCACCACACCCACCTAATTTTTGTATTTTTATTAGAGACAGGGTTTCACCATGTTGGCCAGGATGGTCTTGATCTTCGACCTTGTGATTGGCCTGCCTTGGCCTCCCAAAGTGCTGTAATTACAGGCATGAGCCACTGTGCCCAGACTAAGTTTTATATTTTTAGTTGAGACTGGTTTTCACTGTATTGGCTAGTATGGTCTCCATCTCCTGACTTTGTGTTTCACTCACCTCAGCCTCCCAAAGTGCTGGGATTACAGATGTGAGCCACTGCACCCAGCCAATTTTTTGTATTTTTTCTAGAGACAAAGTTTTGCCGTGTTGCTGAGGTTGGTCTCAAACCCCTGGCTTTAAGTGATCATCACTCTTCACCCTCCCAAACTGCTGGAACCACAGGTGTGGGCAACCATGCCTGGCCAAGCAGATCATTTTTATCATTTGATTCTAGAGCTGCTGCTCATGGTCACACTGTAAGAAGGTGCTGTATAAAGCCCTTATTTGGGCCAGGCATGGTGGCACATGGATGTAATCTCAGCATTCTGGGAGGCCAAGGCAGGTGGATTACTTGAGGTCAGGAGTTTGAAACCACCCTGGGCAACACTGGTAAAACCCCATCTCCACCAAAAAAAATAGAAAAATTAGCCAGACATGGTAGCATGTGCCTATAGTCCTAGATACTCGGGAGGCTGAGGAAGGAGAAATCACTTGAACCTGGGAGGCAGAAATTGCAGTGAGACAAGATTGCACCACTGCCCAGCAGCCTGGGCAACAAAGTGAGACTCTATCTCAAAAAAAATTAAACACCTTATTTGGGAAGTTGAGCATCAGTGATGGCCCTGCTTCACCCAGAAGATTTTTTTTTTTTCTTTTTAAATCTGTAGAACCTCTAAGAAACTGGCATTAACTTCTAGCCAGACTATGTTCCCGAAACCAGCCACCCTATTATCCCACCATGGGGTAGCACAGATCTGACCTCTGACAGTGTCATTTATTTTCTTGCCTAAAAAAAAATCACGGCCAGGCACAGTGGCACATACTTGTAATCCCCCGTACTTCGGGAGCCTGAGACCAGTGGGATCGATTGAGCTTAGGAGGGTGAGGCTGCAGTTAGCTAGGGCACTCCAGCTTGGGTGAAGAAGTGAGAACTCATTGCAGAAAAAGAAAGTCAGGGCAGCTTTCAGATTTAAGAATTCTGGGCCGGGCGTGGTGGCTCAAGCCTGTAATCCCAGCACTTTGGGAGGCCGAGACGGGTGGATCACGAGGTCAAGAGATCGAGACCATCCTGGTCAACATGGTGAAACCCCGTCTCTACTAAAGGTGCAAAAAATTAGCTGGGCATGGTGGCGCGTGCCTGTCATCCCAGCTACTCAGGAGGCTGAGGCAGGAGAATTGCCTGAACCCAGGAGGCGGAGGTTGCGGTGAGCCGAGATCGCGCCATTGCACTCCAGCCTGGGTAAAAAGAGCGAAACTCCGTCTCAAAAAAAATAATAATAATAAAAAATAAAAGAATTCTGAAAGATGTGTGACTACCATCTCCCCAGGCCCTAAACCATATGAATTTGATGGGTTTGTAGCAGACACGAGACAGGAAATTAAGCACCTTTTCCATGGTATGCACATAACTGTCGACCTTTACATGTGTATTTTTAGGCCAGATGGAGTGGTTCATACTTGTAATCCCAGCACTTTGGGAGGCCAGGGCGGGTGGATTGCTTGATGCCAGGAGTTCACAAGACCAAACTGGGCAACATGGTGAAACCCCATATCTACTAAAAATACAAAAATTAGCCAGGCATGGTGGTGGGTGCCTGTAGTCTCAGCTACTTGGGAGGCTGAGGCACAAGAATGACTTAAACCCAGGAAGCGGAGGTTGGAGTGAGCTGAGATTGTACTACTGCACTCCAGCCTGGGCAAGACAGTGAGACACTTAAAAAGGATTACACATTTTAAAAAAAAAGTTTGTTTTTTTTCTTTCTATAAGACAGGGTTTTGCTCTGCCGCCCAGGCTGGAGTGCAGTGGCGCGGCCATAGGTCACTGCAGCCTCACCTTCCTGGGCTCTAGCCACCCTCCTGCCTTAGCTTCCTAACTAGCTGGGACTTCAGGTGCATGCCACCATCGCTGGCTAATTTTTTTTTATTTTTTCTATGAACAGTCTTGCTGTGTTGCCCAGGCTAGTCTCAAACTTTTGGCTTTGAGTTTGAGAATATGCCTCTGAGACTGTAGTCTGCTTCTCACTGAGATTTCTAGAGGTATGTTTGAGTTTTCAGAGTAATTTTCCAGGCAGTCCTCCTGCCTTGGCCTCCCACCAAGTGCTTACAAGCTTAAGCCATCATGCCTTGCCTTTTTTTTTTTTTTTTTTTTTTTTTTGGAGACAGGGTCTTGCTCTATTGCTCCTGGAGTATAGTGGCATGATCTCGGCTCACTGCAGCCTCCGCCTCCCAGGCTGAAGTGATCCTCTTACCTCAGCCTCCCAAGTAGCTGGGACTGCATGTATAGGCCACCACACCTAGCTAATTTTTTTTTTTTTTTGCATTTTTTTGTAGAGGCAGGGTCTAGCTGTGTTGCCCAGGCTATAAAAACAACCAAAATCAATTTAATAGGTAAGAGACGGGTCTTTCTAGAGGCGTTTGTGTGACCTTGGAATCTGGGAGCCAGGTAGCCAGTGTCCTCTTCTTCATTTCACAGGAGAGAAAATTGAGACCCTGTGAGACCCTGCTCCTGACTCTTGATGTTCACCCCTAGACCTCTGTGGGCCCCGGTGCTAGCCAGTTTCTCACTCTCACAGCTGTCATGTCAGCTTAATTTGGTTTGCTCTGTCTGAAGGTTGGGGAAGCGCCTGGAATTTGGGAAGCCGCCTTCACACATATCTTCGCCGCCGCTGCCGTCAGCCCAGGGGGTAGTCAAGATGTTGCTTTAGGAAAACCACGGAAGCTGAAGCTCTTGGTGTCGGTGTGGGAGTCGTTACTATTCGTCGTCTTTTTACACTAGGTTTTTATTTTATTGTAAGTTAGAGAAATAAGAACCAGCACTCACCATAGTTCACTTTGCAGCCCAAGCCAACGACAGGCCGTGACGTGTGCTCTGGGGTTTGCCCCTGGGAAACGTCTACTCATCCCTGCCGGCCACTGTGTGCACTGTAAAGAGGGACAAACGGGGCTCTCTGGGAAGAGCCCTAAGGTGTCGGTGATGAGGCTACCCTGTTTTTGTTTGTTTTTGTGCTTTGAAATAAAGTCTCGCTCTGTTGCCCTGGCTGGAGTGCAGTGGCGTGATCTCAGTTCACTGCAGCCTCCACTTCCCAGGTTCAAGTGATTCTCCTATCTCAGCCTCCCATGTAGCTGGACTACAGGAGTGTGCCACCACACCTGGCAATTTTTATGTTTTTAGTGAGAAACTGTTTCACCGTGTTGGCCAGGCTGGTCTTGATCTCCTAGTCTCAAGTGAACCTCACGCCTTGGCTTTCCAGAGTGCTGGGATTACATGTGTGAGCCACCAGGCCTGGCCTCTGATTGGTCTTGACAGGTGTTTTTCATGTCCTGAGTCTCCTTAAATGTGGGATGGAGTCCCTCTCAGAGGCTCTTCCCCCTGCCCCCAACCAGCTGGAATTGTCTTATAGAATGAAATCTCCCAATGCTTTGTGGTGTACTGAAATCATGTCTGGGAACAGAGAACAGAACCGTCATATGCCTTTTTAAAAACTAGAATAGGCGGGGCATCCTGACTCACGCTTATAATCCTAGCACCTTGGGAGGCCAAGGCAGGCTGATCACCTGAGGTCAAGAGTTCAAGACCATCCTGGCCAACATGGTGAAACCCCATCTCTACTAAAAATAGAAAAATTAGCCAGGTGTAGTGGTGCACACCTGTAATCCCAGCTACTCAGGAGGCTGAGGCAGGAGAATCGTTTGTACCTAGAAGGCAGAGGTTGCGATGAGCTGAGCTTGCACCACTGCACTCCAGCCTGGGTGAGAGAGCGAGTATCAAAACACACACACACGCACACGCGCGAATACACACTACATCTGAGACTGTAGCCTGTTTCTTTTTTTTTTTTTTTTTTTTTTTTTTTTTTAAGACGGAGTTTCGCCCTTGTTACCCAGGCTGGAGTGCAATGGCGTGATCTCGGCTCGCCGCAACCTCCGCCTCCTGGGTTCAGGCAATTCTCCTGCCTCAGCCTCCTGAGTAGCTGGGATGACAGGCACGCGCCACCATGCCCAGCTAATTTTTTTGTATTTTTAGTAGAGACGGGGTTTCACCATGTTGACCAGGATGGTCTCGATCTCTTGACCTCGTGATCCACCCGCCTCGGCCTCCCAAAGTGCTTGAGCCACCGCGCCCGGCCCTTGTAGCCTGTTTCTTATTGAGTTTTCTAGAGGTATGTTTTTGGAGTAATTTCTCAGGCCAACCAGGGTCAGTGGAGAATCTGTCCTCTTTTGGCAAACTGCAGTCATTCATTTTCCTGAGTCCCCTGGCAGGGTGGGGGGAATTCTGCCTTAGGACCCTGAGGGGTCTTTGGGGTAGGGTGGCCTTGTTAATGCAGCCACTAAGAACAGGACTTCATTCAAAGCCATAATGGAGTAACCAGAGTGATCTTCAAGTAAGAGTACACCATGAGATCATTGTTGGAGGAGGCCTCCCTGTCAAAGACATGAACACAGGATTTCCAGCGCATCACAGCGTGTCCGCTCACCACTGCTTGTTAGGAACTGCTGTCTCACTCTGTGGGTCACAAGTTAAAAGAACACAGTTTCCGTGTGCCTGCAGTTTCGTGGTCTTCATTTTGTTACTAAGTTATTTTCTGGAAGAACAGCAAAAATATCTTCAGGTTGAAAATGGAACTTTGCAAGTGCTACTGAAATTCCGCAGAGAATGAAGCTGCGGTGGCGAGTTTCTTACCCTAGAAACATCCTAACCTGTCTCCGAAAATATGTCCTTTTATTTTTTTAAAAGATCAATAAAATCAAGAGAAGCGAATGTTGAACTGGTTTGGGCCAGTGGTCACATAGAGGCTTTGTATGTTTGTACTTGCATGTTTTCTCATAGGGTGGTGAAAAACTTTTTTTTAACCAAGTTATGAAATAAGAAAAAAAATCTTTTCCAAAAATTTCTATTCAAGCCAGTTTTTTAGAAATATATCTGGGATATGTTTGTGCATCAGTCGAGGCATAGGGTGGAGTCCTTCATTCCGGTATTTCCTGTCTCCCAAATCTGTTTGATCTCACGGACTTGGTGGTATATGGCATCGTTTGTGTTGAACAGAGCCTTTGCAAGGCATGTCTGTCTAAAGCACTGAAGCTGAAAGAAGGATGGAGCCTACAGCCTATCCTCCCCCCATCTCCACCCCTGCCCCCCATGCCCCACCCCACCACCAAGACAGAGTCTTGCTCTATCTCCCAGCCTGGAGTGCAATGGCACGATCTTGGCTCACTGCAACCTTTGTCTCCCAGGTTGAAGCAATTCTTCTGTCTCAGCCTCCCAAGTAGCTGGGATTACAGGCATGTGCCACCATGCCTGGCTAATTATTTTTTGTATTTTTAGTAGAAACAGCATTTACCATGTTGGCCAGGCTGGTCTCGACCTCCTCACCTCATGATCCACCTGCCTTGGCCTCCAAAAGTGCTAGGATTACAGGCATGACCCACCATGCCCAGCCTATAGTCTGTTTTTATGGGCCATACTCTAAGAATGATTTATTATGTTTTTAAGAGTTGTTTTAAACATGATGAATATTTGACCCTATGTAGCCTATAAAAGCTAAAATACTATCTGGCTGGGTTTTTGTTGTGTGAGAGGGTCTTATTCTATTACCTAGGCTACATAGCTCACTGCAGCCTCAAACTCCTGGGCTCACACGATCCTCCTGCCTCAGCCTTCCAAGTAGTTGGGAGTACAGGTGTGCACTGTCCTGCCTGGCTGACTTAAGACTTTTTTTTGGGGGGGTGGGTGGGTAGAGAGGGGGTCTCTGTTGGCCAGGCTGGGTCTCCAACTCCTGGCTTCAAGCTGTCTTCCCATCTCAGCCTCCCAAAGTGTGAGGATTACAGGTGTGAGCCACTGTACCCGGCCACTATCTGACTCTTTAAAGAAAGTGTTTGCTGACTCATTGGGCAAGACCTTGTGTTTTAGCTTAAAAAAAATCAAGGAAATCTTGTATTTTTCTTGTGATTCTGGTTTTGATGAGTAAGGATGCTCTTAGTCATGTTGAAGGGCAGGGGGCAGTGGCCCGTGGACCTCACATCACCTTACTCCTCACCCCCCAGCAGCCCAATAACCCCCTTAGACGGTCTCACTTTGCATCTCTGCCTTGTGTTTTGCTGGCTGTGGGATCTTAGGCAATTGATATCACCTCCCTAGGCCTCAGTTTCCCCATTGAAATAACCCTGACTTCAGAGAGTCTGTGACGATGAAGCAAAACCCAGAGGTCTCCAACTTCTTTTGCTCCCTAGAAAACAGCTCAACAGAAAAGCCGGTGACAAGCTAGTGATTTCTAACCGTTTATTAGTGAAGGTGTCTGTAAGTACAGTCAGGGTGTAGTAAACCGTGCGGCATTCCTGCTCTCCGCTGTGGGAGCAGCGTCTCCTTTTCAATTCATGTGACTACAGAAGGCACTTGGTCTTGGTGAACTGTGCGTGTCTGAGGTGTGGAAATCAGGATAGGGGAAAAGAATTCTCAAACAAGGGCCTGTCATGAGAAGTTGGAAAGGTTCACAGGTTAGGGAATGAATGGGGAGGGGGGCAGCACCCATTTTGGTGACTTTTTCCCCATTTCATGTAAACAAAATTGCCAGTGACTGCTTACTGTGGCTATGTCTTCCTGAAAACTCAACGTCTGCACAATCCATTGATGGAGCTGGAGGGTGTGTCTGTGTTTCCTGTTGGGTTTTTCTCATCTCGTACATCCCATTTATACCTTGAATACAGGGTAGTGGGGGTGGCGGCAGTGGTGGTGGTGGTGGAGACAGGGTCTCACTCTGTTGCCCAGGCTGGAGTGCAGTGATGCAATTATAGTTCACTGCAGCCTCGAACTCCTGGGCTCCAGTGATCCTCCTGACTTGGCCTCCCTAGTAGCTAGGACCACAGGTGTGTCGCACCATGCCCAGCTTATTTTTAAATTTTTGTGGAGACAAGGTTTCACTATGTTGCCCAGGCTGGAGGGTGGTGGTTTTTATGATCCTTGTGTGAGGAGTGTCTGCGATGTTTGGAATTTGAGGGTGGATTTATACAATGCTAAATACAGTCAGCTGGGTTTTGTTTTGTTCTGGGTGTTTGGTTGTTTTTCTTGCCGTGGTGCAAAACTCTAGAAAGTTGCTTATTCACTGGCCTTGGTTCCATTGAAGTCTGCATCTCGAGTGTCCATTTCTTCCTCAGAACCATCTGCATTTTCAATGACTCGACGTCCTCCAGACCTTCTAGAAGGAACGAAAGAGGTCTCGTTTCCTCGCCTGTGGGTTGTAAGGAAACACATTTCTTTAGCAAAGAAATCTTCATGATTGGGATAGATTTTTTTATGAATTTTTCTTTTTTTTTTTTTGAGACTGAGTCTCGCTCTGTCCCTCAGGCTGGAGTGCAGTAGCATGATCCCAGCTCCCTGCAACCTCTGCCTCCTGGGTTCAAGTGATTCTTCTGCCTCAGCTTCTACAGGCATGCGTCACCACACCCAGATGATTTTTCGTGTTTTTAGTAGAGATGGGGTTTCACCATGTTGGCCAGGTTGGTCTTGATCTCCTGACCTTGTGATCTCCTGACCTTGTGATCTGCCGGTCTCAGCCTCCCAAAGTGCTGAGATTACAGGCGTCAGCCACTGCACCTGGCCCTATTTTTTTTTTTTTTTTTTTAACATTAAGATGAGGTCTTGCTATTATTGCTCAGGCTGGTTGTGAACTCCTGAACTTAACACAGTGCTCCTACCTTGGCCTTCCAAAGTGCTGGCATTATAGGTGCCACACCTGGCTTCCAAGGTGGATTTTATTTTATTTTTTAAGACAAGAGTCTCCCTCTGTCACCCAGGCTGGAGTGCAGTGGTATGATCTTGACTCTGCAACCTCTGCCTCCTGGGTTCTAGCAATCCTTGTGCCTCAGCATCCTGAGTAGCTGACTACAACCATGCCTGGCTAATTTTTGTATTTTTAATAGAGATGGGATTTTGCCATGTGACTTGCGCTGGTTTCAAACTGCTGGTCTCAAACGATCGACCCGCCTCAGCCTCTGGAAGTGTTGGGATTACAGGTGTGTGCCAGTGCGCCTGGCCTGCAAGGTGGATTTTAGCTCCAGCCAGTAACCC